AGAGAGAGAGAGAGAGAGAGAGAGAGAGAGAGAGAAATTACTGATTTAAAAAGTTGTTGTGTTTGTTTTGTTGGTTATAGAATTATTTAGGCTTTCTATTTCTTCTCAAATGTTTTATTTATTTATTTAAAAATTTTTTTTAATGTTTATTTATTTTTGAGAGAGACAGAGACAGAATGCAAATGGGTTAGGGGCAGAGAGAGAGGGAGACACAGAATCCGAAGCAGGCTCCAGGCTCTGAGCTGTCAGCACAGAGCCTGATGCGGGGCTCAAACTCACGAGCCGTGAGATCATGACCTGAGCTGAAGTCAGACGCTCAACCGACTGAGCCACCCAGGTGCCCCATCTTCTCAAATGTTTTAATGAGCTGTATTTTTCTTGGCATTTGTATGTTTATAGGTATCAAATGTATTGGCACTTACAACGTTAGTCTTATATAGCATTCCCTTATCTTTTTAACTTCTGCTGCATCCATAATTATGATTCCCTTTTTATTTCTAACATCATTTGTGCATGCCTTCTTGCTTTTTAAAAATAGCATTCTCACAAAAAGTGTGTTTAGTCGTTTTAAATAATCAACATTTGGCTTTGTTTATAGTCCATTTTATCTCTATTTCCATGTTGTCGGTTTCTGTTCTCTCTCTTAATTTCTCTGGGTTTCTGTTGCTATTTTTCTAAATTCTTTTTTTTTAATGTTTATTTTGAGAAAGAGCATGTGAGCGGGGGAGGTGCAGAGAGAGAGGGAGACAGAGGATCTGTAGTGGGCTCTGTGCCAACAGCAGAGAGCCCGATTGAAGGGCTCAAACTCATGAACTGTGAGATCATGACCTGATGCGCTGAAGTTGGACTCTCAACCGACTGAGCCACCCAGGGGCCCCATTTATTTTTCTAAATTCTTAAGTTGGATTCTTAGCTCATTAATTTTTAGTCGACTTGTTTTCTCATATAAGCATTTGATACTATAACTTTGCCTCAGAGTAGTGCCCTAGCTGCACCCCACACATTACAGTATGGAATATTTTTATTACCATTCAGTTTAATTTTATTGCTTCATTTAAAAATCAACTTTGTTGAGGTATAATTGACATAGAATTATACTGTGCAGTTCTATGAGTTTTGACAAATTCATATACCATGTAACTATTACCAGAACCGATACACAGAAATTTCCATCACTGCAACCTGTTTCTTGTGCTCCACCCACCCCCGTCAGTCTATACGGCTCCAAACACTAACATGATTTCAGTCACTAAAGATTAGAATTGTCCTTCTTAGCATTTAATATAAGTGGAATCATGCAGCGTGCACTCTTGTGTGTGTGTATGCGCACGTGTGCGTGTGACTTCTTTTACTCAGTATAATATTTTTGATATTTATCTGTGTTGTGTTGCATATTAGTAATTTATTATTTTTATCACTAAGTATTATTTCATTGTTAGGGTTTACAAGTTTGTTCATCCATTCAACTGTTTGTGTACATTTGGGTCACTTCCAGTTTTTGTTCTTTGTCTGCTATTATGAACAGAGCTGCTATGAAAAATCATGTACAAGTCTTTGTATGAGCATGTTTTTAATTTTTTTGGGTAAATACCTAAAAGTGGAATATCTGGATCCTATGGTAGATATACACATATCTTTTTAAAGATCTCCCAAGCTGGTTTCAAGTGGCTATACTGTTTTGTATGCCCATCTGATGTATGAGAATTCACTATCGCTTGATATTGTCAATCTTTTATTTATTAGCTATTATAATGGGCATATCATGGTATTTGATTGTGATTTTAATTTACATGCCTCTGATTACCACTTATGTTGAACATTATTTTCATGTGCTTATTGGTCATTTGTATATCTTTTGTGAAGTATCTTTTGACTATCTAAATTTTTTTTTGTCTTTTCATTACTAATTTATAAGAGCTATTCATATATTCTTGATAGAAGTATTTTGTCAGATATATCTCTATATGTTTGTGGTGTATTAAGTATAATCTCCCAAAGTGTGACTTACCTTTTCATTTTCTTTTTTTTTAAGTATATTTATTTATTTTGAGAGAGCAAGAGTGAGCGAGCAAGGGAGGGGCAGAGAGAGAAGGAGAGAATCCCAAGCAGGCTCCACACTGTCAGTGCAGAGCCCCATGTGGGGCTCCATCTCACAAATTGTGAGATCATGAACTGAGCTGAGATCAAGAGTTGGATGCTTAACTGACTGAGCCACCCAGGTGCCCCTCCTTTTCATTTTCAGGACAATGTTTTCTGAAGAGCAGAAACTTTCAATATTGATAAAAGGCAATTTGTCAGCTTTTTCCTTTATGCTTTTTTATTTTTGCTTTATGCTTAGTTATTGTTCTACTTAAAATTTTTCTGTGACCCATTAGCTATTTTGAGGTGTGATTTTTAGGTTTTAAATACATGTTCTTTTGTTGTGTTTTGTTATTTATTTCTAATTTAATATCATTTCAACCAGCAAACATAGTCTGTATGATGCCATTTAAGGAGATTTGAAATTTACTTTACAATGCATGTTCAATTTGCACATTTGTTCCTAGAGTTGAATTTAAGATTTTGAGTTTATATATTAAATTCAGTTTATTAATACTTTTATTATTTGAATTATCTATTTCCTTACTAGCATTTTATTTGATCTATTAATTACTAAGAAAGATGTGTTGAAATTTCTCACATGAGTGGTAGATATTTCAATTTCTTATGGTAGAGCTAACAGTTTTTGCTGTATATAGTGTGAGGCTATGTTATTAAGTGTGGAGTTACTATAGCCTCTTGGTGAATTAACTAAATCTTTACCATAATCCAGTCTGACACCATCTGTCTTTTCACTGGCAAACTTAGTCCACTTATATTTATTGTACTTTCTGGCATGTTGGTTTTTCTACTTTTATAGTTTTTGTTTCTTTCGGATTGGTTGTTTTTTTCCCTTGATACTAAATTAGAAATTATATTCTGTTTCTGGTTTGTTTTGTATTGTTATTTTACTGGTTACTCTTGAAGTTTTACCCTACATACTTAATGTGGCAAACCCAAAATTCAGTTACCATCTCTACTTTCTTTTTGGCAAGGACCTTGAAAATCTCTAATGGTAATAACCCTGCATCTGGGCCTCATGCTATTCTCGCTTAGTGTTTTAGCTTATTTTAAATTATTTTCAAATCCACACGTGAGATACAGTTTTGTAGAATCACTGTTTAGATTTACCTACGTGCTTGCCAGTTTGTTTGCTTGCCATCCCTTCTTGCATCAGAGACCTTATTTCTGGTGTCCATTTTCTTCTTCCTGAAGTTCACACTTTAGAAGTTCCTTTGGTTAGGGTCTGTTGGTGGTGGGCTGTTTTTGTTCATTTGGGAAATGTTTTTATTTCATCCTAATACTTGAAAGATAATTCTGGAGTACAGAATTCTAGATTGAGTTATTTTGCCCCTCCCCTCCCCCAGGCATTTTCTGGCTTCTGTTAGTCTAATTGCTGTCAGCTCTCTTTTCTGTTCTGATGCTCTTATCTTCTTTTTGTCTTTGACATGCTGGTGCTTCTCTTTGACACATCTAGGTGTCCGTGTATTACTACTTATTCTGCCTGGGACCAGGCTTATGGTAACTAATTATCAGGGAAGATTATTATTATCTGTCTGGAGCAAAGGCAGAGAAGATAGGATCCCTTTGCAGATGTTCCCCTCTCTACCTTTTTTCTGAGGGAGCAGCTCCTTCAAGTGTTTCTGCTTATTCAGGATTTGTAGTTCAGATCCTCCAGTTTGCAAAGCCCAAGGGCTAGCCTCCTGCTTCCAATTGGCTGTTGATTTCCTGATCTCTGAGTGTCTGGTATTGTCTTTTCGCTTTTGGTGCAGCACCAACTTTAGCCTTCACATATATCCATTCTCTTGGCTTCTGCTCACTCTGAATTTTGCTGGCTCTTATGGCCTTTCTGTAACTTCTTGTCAGCTCAACAATGTATATAAAATGATATTTCCTGTTATTTATATGGCCTGTGGGTATTTTGCAGTGGTGAGAGGCTTTTCAGACTACCTTGTTTGTTGGACTACCTATTTCAGAAGTAGAACTTTTAACAAGAATTTTTAAGTACTTATTGTATGCTTAGAGCCATCTTTGGGGGAGCCATAAGGGGTGAGAACATACAACCTCAGCCTTTTAGGAGTTTGCTCCTCCTATTGATCAAACAAGACTAATACACATGTAAAAACTAGAGAGCAATTCAGGAGTAAACTAAGAGGAAGTAATTGCAGGATTTGTTCAGAGGGAAGAAAGAAAGGCTGTTAAATAATTGTTGGTGATTATTACTTTCTGTGCCCCTAGACCACCCTCTGTGGGTGCCCTCCATCTTTGTGTACAGGTAGGTCCACTTCTGAATGCATGGTTGCATAGACTCTTCAGCATAAAAGATGGCGTGCAGTAATGGGTCCCAGGGGACCTCAGCCTTAATAGGAATCCTGAAATTCTTGCTGATGGGTGTAAAAGGCCCCTAACTAATAGGAGTCAGGAGCATTTATGCTTCTGGTACTGACACCAACTAACTCCAAACTTGGGCACTTCATTCCCTTTTCTGGACCTCAGCTTTCCCATATGTTGAATGCATGTTGGAGTAGACTCTATGAATTGCTAACACATTTGTGTCACAGGACTAAATTGTTCGAGGAGGCTACTGCCTGAGGCTCTGAGACATCATTTATCTCTAGGGAGGAGAGTTTCTCTGGGAGATTGAGGGTGTACACACTCCCCTCCCCCACCCTAATCTTTTATCTTCCTTCCCCTTGGTTATAAGGCAAGGTTTCATACGGCTATGACAGTCATACAGTATTAGTTGAATTCTCAGAGATATCTGGGTATATCTAAGTGTAATAATTCAATCCAAGGAAACTATAGTCAATGGTAATAACCATAAACAACTGACAACAAACACCCAGTAAGACAGTAGCTTGTCAAAATGCTTGATCAGCGCTAGAGTCAAATTAGCTTTCAAGTTAAAAAGAAGATAAAGCAGAGAATCTAGCAATGTGAATAGTCAAAATTTCTTGGTTGATAGAAAATCTTGTGGTGTCACAAGAACATTCCTTTGGACATCCCTAATGTGAGTGGCCTAGGCTGGATACACTTCTGAGTTCTAAACTCATGAGTTCAGAATGTGATTAGAGAAAGTGTAGGAAAGGTTTAATGAGGCTCAAGCCCCAAAGAGAGCAGTTTGTTTTTGTATTAAATTCCAGATACACATTGCTCTCTATGTGATTGACCTTTTCCCTACAAGACAAATGTAGGGAATTAATGTTGTATTCTAGCTCATTTGGTTTGGTCTGAGGTTTTATGAAGCGCGTGAAGAAACACAGGGTTCAAAGAGTATGTTATATATAGGGGAGGATTCGGGATTTGGGCTGGTAAATTGGAGGACGGATAATACCTACTTGGGAAGACCTCTTGTGGGGGGTGGGTATTTCTTGGTCAAAGATTTAATGAGGCAGAGAACAGTAAGAGAAGTGCCATTCCTTGAGGAACCTGATGTAGACGACCCTCAATATGAAGAGGCTGTCAAACTTTGTAAGGGTCCCAACCCGGGGACCTGCTGCAGGAGACTCATCTGCCCTCCCAGGTGGTGATTCTGTGCCCCTTCACCGGCATCCAGCAGACCTTCCCTTGCGGCAACTGGCTGGACGAGAAGAAGGTGGACGGGCTGATCGAGAGGCAGCTCTATGAGATGGTGTCTCTCAGGAAGAAGAGGCTAAAAAGTAGGTGCAGGGGCTGCATCAGAGGCTGGTGGCCTTTCAGACAGGGCCAACAGAGGCCAGGATGTCAGACCCCTGGGCAAGAGCTTCACCTCGAAGGAGTCCACTTCTGCTTCTCAGGTTTCCTCTAGAAAGGAAGGGAATGGGCCCCGCAGAGCTTGGTTCTCCAAGATACAGGCTGCGTGCCCGGCATAGAGTTACATACCCGGCACCAACGCCTAGTACCCCTGTGACCCCAAACTGTATAAGCTGCTGTGAGGGGCTAGATGTTAAACTGAACGGTTTAACACAGTGCACTCTAAATATACAGAGGTGCAAGGTGTCAACTCTTCTCCCTACTTAAAACATACTAATAGACTTCCACGTTAAAAGGAACATTGAGGTACCCTCTTTCAAATAGCAGGGAATCCTTGGGTTCCTAATACTGGCACCTGTTAGAGCGGGTTTCTGAGAGTGGGCCACACTTGTGCATGGTCTGTGCTTCATTCCTGAGCTCCTTGGATTTGCTCGCCTTCCCCACTGGTAACACGAAAATCTCTTTATTCTTGACCTGTCTCTGCAGAGTTCCCCTGGTCCTTGTGGGTCTGGACGACCGACTTGAAGAAAGCTGGTACCAACTCTCCAATCTTCATCCAGATTTATGGGCAGAAGGGGCGGACAGATGAGATTCTCCTGAATCCCAACAACAAGTGGTTCAAACCAGGCATAATCGAGAAATTTAGGGTAGGAAGGAAGTGTAATGGGCTGGGAGGGATGAAGGAGGAAGGGACATAAGACGTGTTTGTCATGGGGATGGTTTTCTAAGCCAGATTTTGAATCCAGTTTGAGGACAAAAGGGTGCAGTGAGAAGTTCAGCTCCTTGCAAGGGGTGCCAGAGTGATTTACAGGCAAAGGATTGAATGGTGTGCACTTTGGATCTGGCCCTTCACCTGAATCAAACACTGCAGAATCAAACCTGGGGGACAGAAGCAGGTATGAAATGCTCTTGGGGAGCCTAGAATCCTGGGGAATCATAGTAGAACAGAGACCCTGAGCCCGCAGCGTCAAACCACCCCATCTGGAATGAATTAGAAAGGAGCAAATTTAAGGTAAATTGTAAGTTTAACGCTAAATTTCTGGTGCATATTTAACCGGAGCAAGGCTTATTTTGCCAACAGAAGTGTGCTCTGACCTTTAGGTGAGAATGATTTGTAATTTTCAGCTGTCTTCCCAGAGCACCCCGCTGGTGCTTCTGTTATGCACTCAGTTCATTGCTCTTCATGTATTTGTCTCCCGGCTAGACTGCCAGCCCTTTGGGAAAGGGCGTGACTGCTGTATTGATCTTTGCATCTGTTTCAGTGCCCAGCAGAGTTCTGGGGCTGTGGGCCTGTGCTAATTTACAGGGTTGCCATATGGGTTTTGTTACTGGGAGTTTACTGCTTGGAAGATTTTCTTTATTCTGGATCCTACTGTGGGTCAGTTATTTTTGTTCAATTTCACCAGGGCAGACTGAATCCCGGCCCTACATGGCTATCTTGCCCTCACGTGCCCCTGGTCGCAAGGTCACGAGAGGACAAAGTCTATGAGGGTGGCTTGAAGCAAAGCCATCCTCACTGCTGAAGAAGTGGCCCAGGGTGGGTGCCCTCCAGGGAGGGGGTAAGCTGTGAGGATAAACACATTTCACTTGATTATGTCCACCCAAGGCTTGTTATTTCACCCCATAGATTGAGCTCCCGGATCTTGGCAGGTTTTACAAGATTCGGGCATGGCATGACAGAAGGAGCCCTGGTTCTGGCTGGCATTTAGAGAGGGTGAGATGTGCCATCTTGGGGCTTGGGAGGTGGTTGGGAGAGGAACTCTTTCTAATGACCCTGTCACATAAGTCTGTTGGGAGTTGGGGTGGGTAAGTGTGGGTCTCGAATTTGGACACACGGGGACTTCCTGAGGGGAGAGGACCTCCAAAGCAGACTAAGAAAATGCACAGGTGTTTAGCAGACTTGCATTCTTCCCCGGTCACCTGGCTGCTGGGCAAGCGTGGGTCTCCAGGGACCAAGAGGGACAAGTGTTAATCTGGCACTCCGCTTTCCACAAAAATCCTCTTGACAGGATGGTTGTGGCCTCCCTTAGATGCAATAGCAGAACAGGGCCCCCAGGGCGTGGTGTATCTCTGGGACACCCCCTTGCTCACCCAGGACTTCATTCCAGATGACCCTGATGAATACCCTGACCAAGGACAAGTATAACTTCAACTGCAATCGCTGGCTGGATGCCAACGAGGATGACAATGAGATCGTGAGGGAAATGACCGCAGAGGGCCCAACGGTGCAGAGGATAATGGCCAGTGAGTACCCACCGTCCTGGGGGAGGCAGTGGAACTCCTCCTCGGTGTGTCAGCAGGGGGCTGGCCCATGAGCTGGTAGTCTTGTCTGCTGTACCTCATCAAGCCCCCTCCAAATGCCGGGTGAACTTAGTTCTCGGCCTTAAGACTGGCTTGAAGGAGTCATCTCTACAGCATGGTACCAGCGCTCTATGATAGTGGGTGTGGGGGAGCGAGGTGACGTTTATGGGTCTTCAGGTGGGCTGTGAGGGGATGAGAAGACTCTGCACTGAGCAATGTTTCTCCACAGCCTTCCTGACATTAAAGAAAACATCTTCTTCAAATTATGCATGAAATGCTCCCCCAAAAGGAAGGCTGTATCTGGTGATTGGCTACCCCTGATGAGTCCTCTATTTCTATTTAAGGCCAGTAGGAGAGGGACTAAGCTTTTAATCTGGGGCCCAGGTTCCACATTGAAAGGGGCTAAGGGAGATCATTTTACCTCTAGGTTCTAGTAGCAGAATAGACAGAGACACAGCACATGTCCTGCCTTTGCCCCTGGCAGACATTACTGAGTGATCACAGCATTCTTTCCCATTGAGTCTGAAATGAGTTTCAGCACTCTCGATATAGCTCCCCAAGCAGACATTAGCAATTGATCAGAATTGGCACTTAAGATGATTAATCTATTTGCTATCACTGTGGTAGTCCTTAAGTTTTTAATAGTATAGCAATATTGCAAAATTACAGAGTTAAGAATATATAGAAAACAATGTCACTCATAGTTGCAGTAACCCTTCTAAATATTTGGATAGTGTCACTTCTCAGACATTTGTACATCTAATAGAAGCTCTGTATATGTTTGTTGAATGATTTAAATAGAGGTAAATACTCAAAAACTTAGAAACCCCACATAGCAAATATCAACTACAAAAGCACCCTGTTAGCCTTATTAGGCAGTGCTTGCAATTGTGTATCATCTACTTTATGATTCTTCTTCATTTTTAAATAAAAATGTGACCATAGAATATTTGGGTTCAAGGCCTTTAAAATAGCCTGGTGCAGTTCAGGAAAGTGAGGCGTTCTTGCCCTGATCATACAGTCAGAGAGAGAGTCAGACCTAGAGCAAGGTCTCCCACCTCCTGGTTCAGGGTCTACACTCTGTCTTTTCACGTTCAGTAATGTTTTCTGTGGTAACAAGGCAATCATGTCCCTATGGACATGGTCAATAATAGCATTATGCCCCAAATTGAGACTTACTATATAACATGTAGCCCATCAAGGCAGAAATAAACCTGCTCTTATTGGATCTGGCCCCTTTGTGCACCAGAATTGAGCCCGAGAGGAACCAGTGGGGCTGGGGTCTTAGGACTAACCCCTTCCTCAGTCTTTCTAACCAATTCTCACGACTTTAGATCCTCACTCCCTGTTTCTGAAGTGACCCTGCTGCTGTCATTCCTGAGCCTTTTTGCTGGTTGCCTCTCAAATTGCACAAGTGAGAGCTCTGATCAGTTCTCTCTGGTCTGGTAAGTCAGGGCTTCTCAGACTTCCCTGTGCATTATCACCCAGAAGGCTTTTGAAAACACAGCGTGTGGGCCCTCACCTGCAGGGTTTCTGATTCAGGAGGCCTGGGATGGGACCCAGGACCTGTTTGTCTCACAGATTTCTTTTTTTTTTTTTTTTTTTTTTTTAATATTTTTTCAACGTTTATTTTTGGGACAGAGAGAGACAGAGCATGAACGGGGGAGGGGCAGAGAGAGAGGGAGACACAGAATCGGAAACAGGCTCCAGGCTCCGAGCCATCAGCCCAGAGCCTGACGCGGAGCTCGAACTCACGGACCGCGAGATCGTGACCTGGCTGAAGTCGGACGCCTAACCGACTGCGCCACCCAGGCGCCCCTGTCTCACAGATTTCTAAGTGGTGGCCCTGCTGCTGGTGAGGAAACACTGTGCTAAGGCATTAATCACCTTTCCAGGGGCTCTCAAGCCCCCAAATTCTTGTTGCCATTGTCTGTACTTGTCCCTCTCCCCTAGCTTTATGGATGAAACCATTTTTTGTTTGGTTAAAACTTGAAAATACTGATAGATTGTCATTTCAGTGAGGTTTTTCTACTTAGAATGCCCTGGATGTTCTTTCCCTCCACCTCCTCCTTACCCTGACTGAAGCCTGGCTTCCCCGTCCATCCGAACCTGTCTTCTCTCCTCACAAACTGTGGGGCCCGGGGGAGGGAGTTCGCCTGACTCCCTCTGCACTCTCAGACTTGGGGCTCACACCATCTCACAGTGTTGCCTCTGCCCCCGATCAGTCCCATCTTTTGGTGGCCTCTGCTCACTTTCCTCTTTCGCTGAAGGTGATGTGGTGTGCCCCTCGGTCATTGTCCACACCTCCACCTCTTGCCATCGTTCTGGGGGCAGTGTTGTTAGTCTGCTCGGGCTGCCGCAACAAAATACCACAGACCAGGGGCTTAAACAACAGAAATTACAGTTCTCACAGTTCTAGAGGCTGGAAGTCCGGGATCAAAGTGTCAGCAGGGTTCGGTTCTCCTGAGGCCTCTGTCCTTGGCTTGCAGACGGTGGCCTTCTCTCTGTGTCCTGACACGGTCTTCCCTCTGTGTGGTCACGTCTGTGTCCTGATCTCTTCTTCTTATGTGGACATGAATCGCATTGGGTCAGGGCCCACCCGGAGGACCTCATGTTATCTTAATCCCCTCTTTAAAAGTTCTGCCTTCCTATCCTGTCACATTCTGAGGTACTTTGGGTTAGGACTGAAACATATGAATTGGGGAGGGGACTCAATTCAGCCCCACCCCAGATATGCTGATGAGACTCTCTGAGGCCTGTGCCTGGTAATCTGCATTTTAATCAAGCATACCAAGCAATTTGTTTGCACAAGACTTCAGAGCCTCTGTGCTGCTTCTTTCAATGTTCGTGTGGAAAATCCCTTTACCCACACCCTGGTCCTCATCCACTTTGCTGATCGCTACCTCTCACCCACTTACCCAGTCCCCTCCGTCCCCGTGCCTCACTCAGGATCAGCCCATGAAGCTCCTCTGAGCAACACGTCCCACCTCTGGCTCAGGCTCCTGCCTCCCAGCCCTCCCATGACCTTGATGACACTGCACCCTGTCCTGAAATTCCTTCTAGCTCCTTACTCCCAACACTTCTCCTCGTCTGTCTCACGGACGTGTGGAGGATGGATTTTAGGGGCGAGTCTCTAAGAAGTCATCAAGGGCAGAGAAAAAGAGGTCCTGGGACTGGGCAAAGATTGGCTAGACTAGAGAGAGGATAAATCCAAGAGAGAGCTTGAAGGTGACTGTGGCGGGACTTGGTGAAAGAATGCCATGGGAACACAGCGGCGAGGTGAACTTTCTGCTCAGGATGTTGGGAAAAACTGTAGATGAGGTGCCATTTGAGCTAGGTGTTCTCTGAATAGGGATGTGACAGATAAGGAGAGATCGTGGCAGGAAGAGCATGTCTGTAGGTTATATATGTAAATGTGCACGTAACATCTTTAAACAGGGTATGAGATGTGGGGCTATCATAGCTGTTGGTTTTGTCTTCTGTGATGCTGCTAAAGAACCCTTCCAATGAAAAAAGTCTCTAATGAAGAGCTGAATCAAAGAGCTGTCTGTCCTGGCTCTAAAGGCAGTTTGGGGCCTTCTGGGGGTCCTTGGCAGTACTTCTGAGCCCATGTCAACTTGGATTCCTCGCTCCCAGATGTTTTATCTGGCCCACATAAATTTCTCTTGTGCTGGGAACACCCACCCTGGTGTCCTTACACACCTCTACAGGAACTTGGATCTCTTTTTTTGGTCTGGATACTTCTCTGTAACAGTAAACAGAGCTGGTGACAAGTGCCACGTCCCCCATTGGTACCACGGTATAGTGGATAATGTGCAGGGCTTCCTGGCAGTCCCTTAAGTGGAGCGTCTTAGACTCATAAGATAAGTCCCAATTTAAAACCAGTTCTCTAACTTTGAAATTGTGTACTCCTGGTTTACTACATACATACATACATACGTACATGCATCCTAGGGCCTTTCAAAGAAGCAGTTAATGCCATGTCTGAGAGGGAAAGCCTTTCGGGAGCGGCCTCGCTGACTCACGCAGCCCCGGGACACGGACTAGACACACCGCTTATGATGTATGTGCACCCTGCCCTCCCTCAGGAGCCCGGTGAGATGTAGAAGCAATGCGATCTGCAATCCCTACTGCAGGCCCGGCAGATGTGATGCCACACCGCTGACGAGTGGGCGGGAGACCACTGGACTCGAGTGCTGAAAATCGAAGCTTCTTGTTAATCAGTCCGAGCTGTAATTTTTAAATTAAAGTACAAGAGGCTCTGGTAGTATGTACCCATCTGTTGGAAGTCTACGCTGCTGATAGCTAACAATACAGCTAGTTTTAATTGTCCGTAGACTTCCCGCCAGGATGGAGCTTGAGGATGGACCTCAATGGCTGGTGGTCTGGGAGGGGCCCCTGGAGAAGATCGGGAGCCCCGAGAACTTCCAGCCAAATGGGCCTCAGCGCTCCTGCACAAAGAGGACTGGAATTCCCCGGGCGAAGGGATGGCTGCATTCCCTCATCAGTTTGCTTCTGGGAATTGCCGGGTGGTTACAGCTAAAACTGCAGAACTGTCCATCAGAATTAAGAGTCAGCAAGGCCGGTGTTCCTTCTTCCCGTTTGTGCTTCCCCATTTCAGTACTCACTCCACTTCATGCCGTTCATCCCTCTTGCTGCTACCAGTTCTGTCCCTGGGAGCTAAACAGAGAAGCATCAGCTTCACTTACGCAAAGGCTGAAGGTTGAAGACACTTCGTGTTTGCATTTCAGCAGAGGTGACTGGAGAAGGCAGAAAGGCTCTAATAAGTTCAGGGGCTGTGGCCCTGTGAAGAGGCAGAGTAGGGGCAGGATGCTTTTGCCCCCACCCCCCTTGGTTCCAGTGCCCGCCTGTGCCAGCTCTGTGGGCAAGCAGTCATTCTCTGCCTGTCCTTCTGACCAGAGCTTTGGCTACACACACTGCGT